CAATCTTGCCATGCCAAAATCTGAAACTTTCGGATTCATCTCAATATCTAGTAAAACATTGCTGGGTTTAAGATCACGGTGAACAACTCGTAAGTGAGAATCTTCATGAAGATAAAGAAGACCTCGAGCAATGCCTCCTATGATTTTGTAACGCATTTCCCAATCTAATTGTGCATTTTTTATTGGATCTATAAGAAAAATTTACTAGTAAGGATACCCATTGTGAAAAATATTTACGGCCTTATAATGCAAAGGCTTCCATGAAAACATGCAAACACAAATGTAATTATTTATGATGATGTCATGCCATTTGCAGAAGTATGACTTTGGACTAATTAAAATGGGAAGGGCATTTACCAAAAATGAAATGATCAAGGCTTGCGTTTGGCACAAATTCATATATGAGAAGTCTTTCTTTTCCTTCTAAGCAAAAACCAAGAAGCTTGACCAAATTGCGATGTTGAAGCTTGGCAACTAAAAGGACCTCATTTTTGAACTCTTTATCTCCTTGTCCAGAACCACTAGATAGCCTTTTTACGGCTACAACTTGTCCGCTTGAAAGGTGGCCCTGCAAATCAATCAAAATGGTCTTATACATATTTGAAGTTGATTCAATTAATACAAATCAAGATGGATGGTTAATATTATTTTCAAATTACCTTGTAAACAGCTCCAAAGCCTCCCTGTCCAAGCTTATTTTCGTCGCAAAAGTTATTTGTAGCCTCCTGGACTGTGGCAAAATCATATTGCAAGGACTCAACCTTAATAATTTCATCTTCAGCTGCAACAAACAAAACAAGGGGCAGGATAATATTTTTGTGAAACTCAGGGCCAGGATCATAATACATAATATTCTAAGGTCGGTCTTCTCTTTACAAATTAAGATGGAGTCAAGAACTCATGATAATTTTTTTTGCGGTAAAATGTTACCTACCGTTATCCTTTTCCCCTGACTTTCTGAGTCTTAGACAAATCCAAAGGCAGAGGATGACAAGCAACACGACACTGAGAATGGAAGCAATAATAATAACGATGATTGTTTTCTTGCTTCCATTTCCTGAAAAAATCAAAATGAAAGATTGAAAGGAACTATCAAAACACAGTACAAACAAAATTAAAACTATTTAACTGATCCTTTTTTATTGTTGGTAATAAACTGATCTTTGTTAATTAGTAATCCCTCCATTTAGCTTTAGTTGTTCTAATTTGACTCTCTAATTTTTTGGATATTAATTTTAAATAGAAATTTAATTTATTAAATAAAATTACTGGATAAAAACTATATATAAAATAAATTTTAATTGTTATTCATAAATTTTGCTAAATTTTCATCTAAAAAATGATATATCAAAAGTCAAAACATCCAAATAAGACGCAACTAAAGTGGAAGCGATTAGGTAGTGCAATAATAAAAAATTACAATCCTTAAATTAAGTATTTTTTTAATAATTGATGAATGACAATTTAATTTCTTTTAATTAAATAAAACTATTAAAAAACACTAAATTGATATAGAATAATACAGAATTTTCAGTTGTAATTCATATTCATATGATATATAAATAAGAACACTCTTATCACGTGAAATTGCAAGCAAAAATAAAGTGAGGAGCAAAAATAAAGTGAGGAACAAAAAAAAGGCAGGTAGTGAATAGATTATTATCCTTATCCCAAAATTGAGATAGAAATTAGTAAATACTGCTACCTTCTGTAGGAGGAGGTGAAGACGGTATCTGCGATGGCGGCAGAGGAATATCATCAACGGGGCCTAAAAAGGGACCAACCTCATATCTCAACATACAGCTGGGTTGTAGAACTCTACATCCAATCGCCCCATCGCAGTAATAAGGAATCTTTGAGGTGGCTATCGCCAGGCAATTGCTGCATTGTTGCTGAGACAGGTCGGGGGTGCACTGTACAAATGCGTACATTGCTTTATCAAAGAAATCTGGACCCGTTGTGTTACCTGCCGCCCACTTGCGAAGAGGGCCTTCACCCGCCGCAAGGTTGCTCAAATTTGTCAACAAGGAATTCAATATAACATTGAATGGATCAATATTGAACACACTTAAATAATTTTCAACAGAATAGTCAGGCATGGTTTCATTAGCTCCAGAAATATTTCGACTTGAGTAGCGCAACATACACAAGTCCGACCATGCGATCGCCTCTGTTCTGTTAGGACAGCTCTGCTTGAGTTCGGGGACGGTGTCGTTGAGGCAGCTTTTGCAGGCATCCCGCTTTACGTCTGCTCTACAGAGTCCAATTGCATTCACCTGATTGGGTCTCTGGCCGACAGTCATATTGTAAAACCCATAATTAAATTCCTTGGTTGCGGTTATTTGGGCGGAGAGGTGGTCGATGTTGGCCTGGTAAGTACTACCGCCAGCGAACTTGCCATTATTAACACACTTATACTTGTAGTCATTAAGAGCAGAAGCAAAGCAGAGATTAATTGAAGAAAAGAAGATGAAAAGCAGTGTTGAACATCCCATTTGCCTACCTCTAACCCTTGAAAAACAAATTGGGTAGTTTGTTAAAGGAAATTGAAACTGATGAATAAAGGAGTTGGTCTTTCTTTTTTTAACCAAAAAAAAAAAAATGAATTTGACGAATGGGTTGGACTAAAATTCTGAAATTACGTGGAATGGACGGAGTTGGAACAGGAATTCATATGTTCTTTCCATCTCCTTTCTCCATTAACACATTGGACTTTTCTGAAGGCAGTGCGTGCAGAGAGGGGCGGTTTTCCATGTCATGACTTTATTGAGTCAAGCACATTCTCATCTCCCGTTCCACAAGCTCCCATTATTGAAATGTGAAATGTGGAAATTTATCAATGAATGGACTTTAATGACTTATCCCGGTCCACAAGTACTGATAGCTATCATGGGAACACGAAATTCTCTTTTCTTTTCATCGATCTCCTTTAAACTCTTTTAAATATGACTGAGTAATAAAGAGTGGGACCGGCTTTACATGTCACGACTCTGAGTCAGCGCATTTCCCCTCCCACAAGTTGCAACGATGTTTTAGGTGTGATTGTTGGAAATTTGTAAGTGAACGGAACTAGACAATTGATGGCTTATCTTAGTCCACAAGTGATAGCTATCCTTGGAAGTCTCCTGGAAACTACTGTAGATAACAGGGAGGGGAGAGACGAACCAGTTTTACGTGTCATGACTTAATTTTTTGTCATTGCATTCACCATCCACAACCATATGTTTGAATTTTTTTTCGTTTGTTTTTGATTTATAAAATTCAAAATTAATTTTTTAATTTTATTTATTTATTTATTATGTCACTTAAATTTAAAATTTTTTATTTTTATTATAAAAAAATTACTGTTAAATTATTTAAATTATTAAGAATGTAAGTTTCAATGATGTTTAAGGTGTGAGTGTTGAGAATTTATCAGAGAATGGACCTAGACAAATTTAATCACTTATTCCGTCCACCACTGGTAATTGCATCATGGGAACTGAAATTTATCTTCTTTCCATCGATGATCTCCCTGAAACTTTTCTAGATACGGGTGAGTGTAGAGTATGGCCGGTTTTATAAGTTTTTTTTAATTTGGGTCTTTAAAAAATATGTTAAGAGTATAATTAATATAGTTTTTAATAATTAATTTATATTAAAAAATTAATTTTTAATTAATTAATTAATTAAAATTATATAAATAACATTAATATTAAAAATAATATAAATTTTTATATTTTCTATATAAATTAAAAAAATTTTAAAATATTAATTATACTTTTTTATCTGTACTCTAAAATATATATATTAAAAAAACCGTTTGAGTCATCCCATTTACCTTTCCACAAGTTCTAATGATATCTGAGGCGTCTAAGAGCATTTCCAACAAGGTTTTTTCCCATTCACACCTTTCCGGTCCAAGAACCTGTTATTATTGTCAAGTATTAATCATAGTCAATAAGGTCAACTTGACCAAGTCCATTGGTACCAAATTGACCCGCTCTCTTTCTCCTTTGAACCGTGTCATTTTTTACACGCACTAAGATTAATACCAAATTTTTTCAATTTTTCTTTAATTTTGAGTTGAACAGTAAAGCGATACCCAAACCTAGAAAGTGCACAAAGCAACAAAATAGAAGTCCGTAAAATATCAAGCACGTCCTCAGCCTTTACAGCCCTATCACTCTATGGGCAATGGGTTCTTCAGAGAAATTTTTCTCTGTTTCTCTGTTTCTTGCCCACCTGCTTATCATCTCAGTATCACAAGAAAATCCCTTCTTGTCCTACAGTTGCTCAGATGACAAAGGGAACTTCACCACTAACAGCACTTACGAAACAAACCTCAATCATCTCTTCTCCACCTTCACCGCAAACTCAGAAAACGATTATGGATTCTATAATGTTTCTTTTGGCCGTAATTCTAACAAAGTTTACTCAATTGTGCTCTGTAGAGGAGATCTTAAGCCTGATGTTTGCCTCAACTGCATCAACAATGCCACCGCCGATCTAAGAAACCTATGTCCCAACCAGACGGAAGCAATTGTATGGTACGAGTATTGCATGTTGCGATACTCAAATCATTCTCTCTGGGGTGATACACACGGTCCTTCTTTCTTTATGCCAGCTGGTAATAATATTGTCACGGATGTCAGTATTTTCAATTCTGCCCTGAGTTCTCTGTTGTATAGCTTGACAGATAGAGCTGCATCCGGTGGTTCTCTACGCAAATTTGCAACGGGATCAGCAATGACTCTGCCTTCCTACCCGATTTATGCACTTGTACAGTGCACACCTGATATGTCCAAGCAAGGGTGCACATCTTGCTTGTATGGGTCTTTTACACAAATTCCGCAATATTGCAACGGAAAGCTAGGATGCAGAGTAGGTGGAACAAGCTGTTATTTCAGGTTTGAAACCTTTTCTTTCTATAATGCTACTGCTGTTGGATCCTCACCGCCAGTGTCTCCTCCTCCTTCAAATGGTACAGCCGAGTCAACTCTAATTCTAAAACAAATTGGCACTTAATTTAGACTGTTTTGTTGAGACACCGTCTTGATTTTTGCAGGAAAAGAGAGCAATTCATTCCGGTATACTATCATTGTAGTGGTTTCGACCACTGGTTCTTTGATACTTATCATCCTCATCTGCATATGCATTTTTTTCATGGTGATGAAGTCCAAGAAGAAAGTTGAAAGTAAGTTTCATTTGATACATATTCCTTTGGATTTGCACAGTTTTTTAGTTATCAACCCCAAATGTATTAATATCTTCTTCCATGATATATGAAGCAGCTGATGAAATAAAAACTGGGGAGGCACTGCAATATGACTTTAGCACCATTAGATCTGCAACAAGTAACTTTTCCGAAACAAACAAGCTTGGAGAAGGTGGATTTGGTGCAGTTTATAAGGTAAGAAAATAATTCAGTATCAGTAGTATTAAATATAATGTTAAATAAAACAGGGATTTCCTTTTTAAGATAGCTTAAATTAATTAATTTATTTACTCGATATATTTTCAGGGTAGGCTTGCCAACGGACAAGAAATAGCTGTTAAGAGGCTATCCATGGATTCTGGTCAAGGAGATATAGAATTCAAGAATGAAGTCCAGTTGCTGGCCAAGCTAGAACACATAAATTTAGTTAGGCTAAATGGTTTTTGCTTGGAAGGAAATGAAAGGCTTCTCGTTTATGAGTTTGTCCCAAATTTGAGCCTTGATAACTTCTTATTCGGTATATTTATCTCCAACTTCAGTTTCGGATTGCACAGACGTTAACGCTAATTAAGCATAAGTCTAAAAGACTATGTTTCTTTCATATAATATAGCATACTTGATTGTTTTGTAGATTCGATGAAGTGCACTGAACTAGATTGGGACAAGCGATACAAAATCATAGAAGGTGTTGCTCAAGGACTTCTCTACCTTCACAATCTCTGTGTTATTCATTGTGATCTTAAGGCCAGCAATATTCTGCTAGATGCAGATTTAACTCCAAAAATTTCAGACTTTGGCATGGCAAGATTGTTTGCGATGGATCAAACTCATGCTTCTGCAAGTAGAATTATAGGAACATAGTAAGTATTAGAACTCCCTTCATATTTATTATATATCACTTCATCACAGTTATCACACAATTTATAATATGCAAAACTTTAGCCACATTTTATGACGTCATGAATGCCAAATTACAGTGGATATATGGCTCCTGAATATGCAATAAATGGACAAGTATCAATTAAGACAGATGTTTTCAGTTTTGGAGTTCTAATTTTAGAGATTGTAAGCGGTCAAAAGAACAATTCTTTCCAACATGAGGAGAATGAATTAGACCTTGTTAGCTATGTAAGTATGGGATCACATACAAATTGAAAAAATTTAAGAGATTATGATCCCTTTTTTAAATGTTTTAGTTTTTCATTTGTCCTACAGACTTGGAAAAATTGGAGGGAAGGAACCGTGCCGAGCATTGTAGATCCCAATTTGAGGGAGGGTTCTAGAGCTGAAATTATGAGATGCATCCATATTGCTTTACTTTGTGTACAAGAAATTGTAGCACAAAGACCAACCATGGCTTCAGTTGTTCTAATGCTCTCAAGCAACTCCATGAATCTCCCAGCACCATCACACCTTGCATTCATGGACAGCACCAGTCAATCAAACACGTTCTATTTGCAATCGCAGGACGTTAACTTGGGAATTATAACTCCATCAATCCAAACATGAAACTGCCTTGGCAGCTGAGAGCAGACAATTTCAAATACCAAGCTCGATCAAAGATTACGCGGAGACAAGTATAACTGTTGTTTATAAACTTATGATTCGGAAAGGTGTGCTTTTCTGCTGCAAAACATATTGAATGTGGTTTGAACCTAGAAATTGGCTCCGGTTCTCTCGTAGACTTGTACCTTCTCTGATTCATCAATAAAAAGCATACATGCTCCTAGCGATATGGTTGAGGTCTTTTTAAACCAAAATACTTTTAAAATTTGCAAAATGCTCGATCCTAACAATTTTTATACCTTGTTTAGTTTGAAAAGAAAGGGAATAAGGATAAATTTTCTTATTTAAATAAAAATAATGGAGGGAAGGAGAGGGGTCTTCACTTATTTTGTTTTAATTTCATTTATATTTTAGTCTAATCGAATGAAAGAAAGGAGGAAAAATGAAAAGATAATGATATCCCTACAATATCCACTCTCTTCCCCTTCCATTTTCTTCAAGTTAAAGACAATGCCAGTATTGGCTGATGAACTTGTCCATGGTTAAACAATCTTCTAAGCATGAAGTAATGGAACTATAATAAAATGAAATTAGTCACATACAACCCATGAATTTTATGATACCAAAATAATTTCATCAATAGACCCTAGTGTGAAAATTGCACATGGCACATAACTTAATACACCTCTTTATATGTGGTATGAACTTCAACTTCGGGTCTTGTAAGGTGGGTTAACAATGGGCATTTTATAAGCAAAGTTTGGACTCTAATATCATATAAAAATTATGCATGTACATTTCAACACAAGGTTTGTATCAAATCTAAAATCAATGGACAATAAATAGAGCACCTTTTTTTATATTTAACTTACAAATTTTTTTGTTATGGACTCGACATAGGATTTTCTCATTCTACACCTAGCAACTTTTATAGTTTGTTTAGTTTAAAAAGAGGAGATGGATCTCCCGTGCTCTGCCTAGGGTTGAAGGTGGTGACTATGGGTTTCTCCCTAAGGTCTCTCTCCAGTTAGGAGTTCCTCCCTCTTCCTCTTCTTTTCTGACAAGGGTTTCCCCTCTTGCTCTCTTCCTTCATCCTCGTCATCTGTCTTGCTTTGGAAACTTCAACCCAAGGGACCACAAGGCAGCGGCTCCTTTCAATCGGCGTCGACTGTTGATTTTTGATGACTGTGTCTGGATACCGAGGGACTTGATCCAGTCGATGGTTGGATTTCTCTCATCCTCTGAGTTGGATTTTCACTTAGGCATGTCTCCTCAAATGAGATCTTGGTAGGGGTGGCAATCGGAGAAACTAGCGCACTCCAATTTTCGATCTGGCAGCCAAATACCGAAAGATATGGCTGCTGGTGACTCTTTGGGTTCTGATCTGCATGAGAAGCATGCTACTCACATTGGCAAAGGGGCTTTAGTTCCCTTAACAAGCTTCACCAGCAGGGGTTTTCAAAGGATCGATAATGATGGGCACATGATTGGAAGTAGTCGACGGAAATTGGGGAGGCTTGTGTTTGTTTGGAGACTTGGCAAAGAGGAACAGGAGGCCATTGGTGAAGTTGATTATGTTTTGAAAGGGGCTCTAGTTTCCTTCCACAGTTGGGGCAGTAAGGGATTGAGGAGGATTGGTAAAGCGGAGACACAGGCTTGTGCTGAAGGGGTTCTTACCCCTTCCTGATGGGTAATTTTGTGATAGGATGGCAACATGTAGGTTGGGGACTGTTGTTGTCGAAACCCTACTCTCCCCATGAAACTGGTTAAATAAGTGAGAAAGTCCAGTTAGCTTTGATGCTTATAGTGACTCTCTTTTCTACATTTGTAGCCCTATTTAGCCTATACAACGATTGCATTCGCAATCTCTAGTTGCAAATAGCTTTCTTCACTTAATTGTTTATATTCATCATAGGCATAGTTTAAATCTACTACTAGTACTAAGATTATGTTTTTGATTTTATTTTTTAGCTATAATGATTTAGGCTATATGCCCGTGATGGAGATTTCTTATGTATTTCTTATTATTTAATATAATTTTCTCCTTCTCCTATCAAAAAAAAAAAAAAAAGAGAGAGAAGATGGAAGAGGAGGAAAGGAAGAAAATTTTCTTATTTAGATAAAAAAAATTGGAGGGCAAAGGAGGGGCTTCCTTATTTTGCTCTAATTCTTTTATATTTTAGATTAATCAAATGAAAACAGAGAAGTAAAATAGAAGGATAATGATAACCCTATGAAATCTCTATGATATCCCTTATTTTCGTCTTTATTTTTCTCTAACCAAATAAATTATTAGTGTTGACTAAATTACTCGTCCACAATTAAACAATCTTCTAAGCATAAAGAAATGGAACTACAACAAAATGAAATCGGTCACATAAAACACATGAATTTTTTGGTATCAAAGTAATTCACCAAGAAAGTCGTTGGCCAATACTTCTCAGGCAGTGAAAGCAGCATCTTAAAACTACAAAAACCCAGCTCCGAATGAAAGTTACACTTAAAACTTTTGGAAAAATTTAGTGCGGAGCCGATCAGGGCTTGTGCCTCTTGCTACTTGTGATTGTCAGACTTTTTCTATTTTTGAACAAGGTAAACTTTTAGGGAAAAAAATATATTATAATTATCCTCAACAAGGCCTGAGCTGAGTCAAAATTTTTGCCGTGCGTTACCGATCCAAGTGGGGCTGCTAGTGAACGTGATTGTCAGATTGTGATTAATTAATCTAATGTATGGTAGACTGTGGGTAGGGTGGAATTAATGTCTTGGTCAAGTTTTTTGTTTTTATATTCAAATGTCTTGGTCAAGACGGGCAAGTTAAGCTCACCGGCTAGTTTCTGACTGTGGGCCATGACATGCAAATAATGACTTAAAGTCATGTTTCACTTTCACACAATCACACCCCATTTTGCACTCCATCGTGACTTTTAAGTCTTCCCAAACTTATTAAGACTTTTAAATTTTAATTTAAAATTTTAGGTTAGGTAAGAAAAAAAAATTTTTTAAGATAAGATTATCTTCTTTGTATATGTTTATCATAGCATGTATAAAAAAATAAAATAAAAGTTTCTACTACTTAACTATGAAATTGTTTTAAAGCAATATTTTATTTTGTACAAGTAGAAGTAATAATATATAATTTTTATCTTTTTAATCTCTTTACTTCCATCTAAAATTTGATTTTGATAACTTTCTTTAAGAAGTAATTATCATTAAACCAATTAAATAATTGGTTATCCGTATACTTAAAAGAAATTAACAAAGAAAAAAAAGGTCTAGTGTATACTCCAAGGCCCGGCCAGATAAATCATAGTCGCACAGTAAAGCCTCTCCTTTTGGGTTTCTTCTTCTTTTTGAAGCTTCCTCCTTTTCTCTTTTAGCTGATTCCTCTTCAAATACCTGAATTACAATTGCAATTCTTTTTCCTTCCTTTCCATTAATTGATCAAAACCTTAGAAGTTAAAAAAGGGGCCTTTGCAACTGGGGCAAACTATTGCGGCGGTTGCTAGGCGGCCTTAGAACCTGGTGCGGCGGGCTTAATGGTTCTGTGGGATGTGATGGTTTTCTAGACAACAAAGTGACAACTTTATCAAACCCTTAGTTCCTAGTTTGGGTAGAAAAGAAGGCTTTTACGTTTGTGATTACAGCAGTTATTTTTCTGTTCAATTGTTTACATTAAATTATAATTAAATGAAACTGTTCATATAATTATGTATCAGCACGAGGATTTTGTGGATACTTGTGCTAGTAAAGATTGGTAGATTTATTAGGGTGGTCTGTTTGCTTCTTTGAATTTTTCAAAGATTTTAATTCAAGGATTTTACTGAAACTTGCATTAGAATAACATACGCTTATAAAGAGAAAAAAAAAAATCAACTTTTGAGGATTAGCCTCTTAATTAGTGGAATAGAAATATTTGTAATGTAGTTTTTTTTTTTTTTGGTACCAATATTTATAAGGTAGTAATATTTGTAAGGTAGAATTTTTTTTTTTATTAACCTCTTAGTATTTAGAAATCACATTAAATTCTAATTAATCCAGAATTAAACAATGTTTGATTCGATCTCATAAAAGAAAACTTTCTCTATACCTATTTTTTTTATTAATCTCTCAGTATTCAGAAGTCACATTAAATTTTAATTAATCCAGAATCAAACAATATTTGATCAGATCTCATAAAGAAAAACTCTCTCTATACTTATTTTTTCATTTATAAGACTCAAATTTAAAATATTATTTAAAAAGAATTAAACTTTTTATACTTGGATCAACAAATCATTGGTATTTGTAAGGTAGTATGGTGGAAGAGAACCATTGAATTATCAAGCTGCATGCCCTCTCTTAAGTTAGTACAACAAATGAGATTATTCATGATTGAAGAGACTTAGAAAATAATCTATTTATAATTTGTAGCCTTGATATTACCTTTTAGCCAATGTCAATGTCATATGTCTAAGTATATTATGTTAGAAAATGATACTTAATTGTCATATCTTATAGTTTTAGTTTAATTACGATATTCATGTAAGTATTTAATTATTAACCTTTTAAATGGTTATTTATTAGAGTGTAATTATAATTTATGCTATAAATCATTTTTTTTTTATTTTTATGTAATGCCTATAAGAGAAAACAAGAATATATTATAATTATTTTATTATTGATATATCTTTAGTTTTATTAAAGGAAAAAAGAAATTAACAAAGAATATCTTAAGTATTTCCTGTTGGCAAATAAAACCTTAATCAGCAATTCCGAAAAGAAAAAAAACCTTAATCTTTTGAAATATAACATTCATAATCCATTCGAATAACTACGTCCTGGAATCCTAAGTTGGTATTCATTTATGAGTAAATATAATTTTATAAATTAAGTTCAATTTTTAAATCTTAAAATTAATATTTTAAAATTTTATTTATTTAAATATATTAAAATAATATAAAAATACACCCTTAAATTTCCCAATGGATGCACTTTTTCTTTGGCTGTTAATGCCATTTAAAAAGTTAATAACAAAAGGATAGATTTGTCAAGTTAAAAAGTAAGATTTCTCTAACTTGTGTCATTAAGTATCATTAATAATAATATTTATAATTAATTTATACAAATTTTTATATTAGATTCTTACCTTCTTACATATTTCGAATATAAATATGATATTTTATTTTAATTTTACATTTTATAGTTTATGTTAATTGAATCTATTATAAAATTTTATATCAAATTAATAACAAATACTATATTAAATAAGCCTTTAAAGCACAAATTAAAAAATTCCTAAGATCAAAAAAAAAATTCCTAAAAGGTATTAAGTGGAGAGGAACCGTGGGATGAGGAAGGCTATCTTTATTGGATGGAGGAATCAAAAAATATAAAAGAAAAAAAATCTAGGGATAATTACAATTTAGGGTGGTCTTAAAACAATAATGACCGTTTAGGAGACGTTAGAAAGTTAATCGCACAAGTCCTAATGTTAAGAATGATTCCAAATAAGTACCCTGTACTGCCAATGCTACCCATATTTAAACCCAAATTTTCGAAATATTGCCATCTTAAAATCTCTACGTGTTTTAAAACAGAAATAATTTACCACACCTAACAGTTAACATAATAAACACTAATCTGACGTGAGAACCATGTCAATGAATTACAAGATTAACCCGTGTGCAAATTTCCTTTTAAAAAAAAAAAAAATGGGACTTGCAGGCTTGCACCCTTAGTCGAATTAATCGCAACTCTAGAGCTTTTTTTTTTTTTTTTTCCATTTGACCTTGGGGCCTGTTTCTATTTATTTTAAAATAATTCTGATGAAAGCTTTTCTTTCGTTCTTTAATGGTTTCAAGCATTTTAATTATTAGACATTCCCCACAGACCGTAGAGATCTATGGAGATAATTCTCCAAAACATATTCTTTAATTAATCAAACATAATTGTTTTTTCTTTCTTTTTTCTTTTTCCCTTTTAATTTTGGATCTTTTAACTATATTTTGTCGGTTCCAAGTGCTCCACTTTGTTGATTATCAATTAATTATCATTATCTTCGTAACATGACATGAATAGTGCCCCCATACCGCGGTTTTTAGGTTTTTTTTTCTTAGTGGGGATTTGAAATAATGTGCAGTATTTTGAAATTTTGAGTTTAAATTATGGGTAAAGTTGGCAATGCGGGGAAGTTTTTTAATTCTTAAAATTAGGACTTTTGTGGGATTAACTTTCTAACCTCCCCTACATGGTCGTTATATTCTTGAAACCACCATAAATTGGAATAATCCCAAAAATCTATCTTCGTCTTTCCCTCTTTCAATTTTTACTCATTACTGATCTTTACCTTTAAGAAGCCAGCTGCCTCCGTGCCTCAGATTCCCTCGATTCCGCTAGGTTTTCAACGAATTTCCACTTGTTTTCTTTCAATTTAAGTAAATTGAACCTCCGATATCGCCACCCCAATTTCACTCTAATCAGGGATTCCGCAGATCCATTCAATTTCAAAACTTTAGCCCAACCCATTAGTTTTTCAAGGGTTAAAAATGGGATGTTCAGTACTGCTTTGGATCCTCTTTTCTTCAGTTAATCTCTGTTCTGCTTCCGTTGTTTTCTTCAATTGTTCCCCCAATAGCAGCATCACAGGCGGAGGCAGCAGTGTTTACCAGGCCAACCTCAAACACCTCTCCACCCAAATCACCTCAACCAAGGAGGAGTTTAATTCTGGGTTCTACAATCTGAGTGTCGGCCAGAGCCCCAATCAGGTCAACGCAATTGGACTCTGTATAGGAGACGTAAACCAGGGTGCTTGCATAAGTTGTCTGAACGATACCATCTCCCAACTCCAGGAGTACTGTAATAATAACACAGAGGCGATTGGATGGTCGGATCTCTGTTTGGCGCGCTACTCAAGTCGAGATATTTTCGGGGCCGAGGAAACGCTGCCTGACTATGTTATTACATCTTATCAATTTGTGTCCAACGTTAATCAATTCAATGTGACATTGAATTCCTTGCTGGAAGATTTGACCAATCGTGCAGCCACCGTAGGCAGGTATGTGGCGACGGATCCAACTGACCTTATTAATATCGACGCGTCTGTGCAATGCACCCCTGATCTGTCCCAGCAAGAATGCAGAAATTGTCTGGAGACGGCCCGCGAAAAGATTCAGAAATCCTGCTACGCGAGGACAGAATGTAGAATTCTACAACCCAGCTGTATATTGAAATATGAGGCTGAGGATGGTTTATCTCGGCCATCACGGCCGCCGTCTTCACCTCCTCGTCCAACACAGGGTATTGTACACGCTAGCTATTCCAACTTCATTTAAAGTAAGAAATTTTTTAATCTTTGGAAAACTTCAAGTTAGTCTCTAAATTTATTCTCTTTTCACAATCAAGTCCCTAAAGTGTTTTTTTCTTCTTGCATTGGAAGTTAGTTGCTTTGTATAGATGGCCTTGAACTAGAGCTCCCAAATTAAGTCCCATTCTTGACCCCATATCTAAGTTTTATGCTTAGTGGTACTAATTCATCAAACTCAATCTTATTGGTTCCTAAAGTCATTCTTTTTCACTTAATTAAGCATTTTAGTTTTTCCTTTTTTAGCAATTAAACAATTTTAGGAATGTGAAAATTTCAAGTTCTAACACAATATTATGTATTTGGTAATGTGTTAAATGTATTTTCTGAATTATCATGTCAACCTGAATGACAAGTAACAGAGACTAACGGGAGCATATTACATACATTGTGAGATTAATTAGGTTAGCTGGAACTTGAATGTAGAGCCATACATATATACGTTTCAATTCATGAGATATTATCTTAAATCATAAACCTAATAATAAAGCTAATAAATTTGCATTTGGGAACCACGCATGGTTTAGGACCTTTAATTTTGTTTGTACTGTTTTTTCATATTACTTTTAATTTTGGCCTTTTCAGAAAAAATCATTATTATCGTTGTGGTTTCAATTATCGGTGTTTTGTTGCTTGTCCTTTGCATTTGGATTTATCTACGACTCAGCAAGTCAAGGGGAAAGGAGGATGAAAGTAAGATTTTCATCCATAAACTCTCGAAATTTATTTTTCCTACATTTTGTAAAGAGAAGACGTTGCTTTGAACATTTTATGAAATTTATGTAATAGAATCTTGCTCCTGGTTTTTGAAAAATATTATCATCAGTAAGATCTCATCACTAACTTGAGAGACGAGATTGAAGATACAACAGTATACGTTATCATCCATGTTTTGCTTGTCGCAGATATAGATGAAATTATTAAAGCTGAGTCCTTGCAATATGACTTTGCTACTGTCCGGACTGCTACAAAAGACTTCTGTGACGAAAATAAGCTTGGACAAGGAGGATTCGGAGCTGTTTACAAGGTAATTACAAATTAATCATCCATCTAGATTAGTGTTGAAGCAACTCAAACATGTATATAGGACCATTTTGATTGCTTTATAGGGCGAGCTTCCCAGCGGACAACTTGTAGCTGTAAAAAGGCTATCTAAAGGTTCTGGGCAAGGAGAGAAAGAATTTAAGAATGAGGTTCTCTTAGTGGCCAAGCTTCAACATCGAAATTTGGTTAGACTCCTCGGTTTTTGCTTGGAAGGAAAAGAAAGACTTCTCATATATGAATTTGTTCCAAATGCAAGCCTTGATCGTTTCATATTTGGTACTTGAACTCTCCATGTTCACTAATAATTAGAATTTTTAACGGGGCTTTTATGTCTTGAGTCATCTACAAAGCACAATTAGATTGGCTAAGGAGTCAATATTTTTCATTTTGATATCAGTACTGGTGATTTCTTCTTATAGATCCAATCAAGAAAGCACAATTGGATTGGCAAAGGCGTTATAGAATTATAGGAGGCATTGCTCGAGGACTTCTCTATCTTCATGAAGATTCTCAACTACGAGTTATTCATCGTGATCTTAAACCCAACAATATTTTACTAGATGGAGAGATGAATCCTAAAATTTCAGATTTTGGTCTGGCAAAATTGGTTGCAGCTAATGATCAAACTCATGATACTACAAGAAGGGCTGCGGGAACATAGTAAGTATAATACTCCTTGAATTGCCAATTTCAGCACTTCATACACTTGCTAAATTGTTGATTACACTTCTATAAAATGTCACTACAGTGGATATATGGCTCCAGAATATATTAAACATGGACACTTTTCAGTTAAGACAGATATTTTCAGTTTTGGAACAATGATTTTGGAGATTGTGAGTGGTCAAAAGAATAGCTCTCCTCGCCATGCGGAGGAAGGTGTGAGCCTTATAGTCTTGGTAAGTATACAAGACTAACATACATGAATTTTAAAGTTTTGTTTGGTTTAGCTGTTCAGAAACAAGCTCATAACAAATATCCAATGATTGATAATTATTTGAACAAGCTCATAACAAATATCCAATGATTGATAATTATTTTTTGTAATCCAAATATTTTTATTATTTTTTTTAGAATTAACAAATAATAACTAATAGTTATTCTCGAACAACTAGACTAAGTAGTGCCTACATTTTGAAAGATTAGTCTTTCGTAGCATATCATTTATCTCCTGAATTTCTTGTTACTACAGGCATGGAAAAATTGGAGAGATGGAATCGCACAAAAGATTATAGATCCCAATTTGAAAGAGGGTCCAACAGCTCAAATAATAAGATGCATCCATGTTGGATTACTATGTGTGCAAGAAAATGTACTACAGAGACCAACTATAGGGTCGATTGTGGCGATGCTTACCAACAATTATATAAATCTCCCAAAACC